AGACCTTCCAGTCTGCCGCTCGGCATCTTAATCTCTGAGCCACCACAGCCCTGCTTGAAAACTGACCCCGCCCCTCAAATAGGGTTCCCAGTTCCTGGTTGGGAAATGCCTGGAGATTTGGGGGGTGGATCCTAAGGAGGGTGGAGTTTAGGGAGGGGCGGGACTTCGGTGGGGTTACAGTGCCATAGAGTCCGCCTTCCAAAACGGCCATTTCCTCCAGAGGAACGAATTCCTGTAATCCCAGGAGATCTCCAGCAGTCACCTGGAGTTTGGCAACCCTACCCCCAATCCTCCAGAGACCAGCAAGATCAGCCTGGGTCTGTCTGAGAAAGGTGACGGTTCCCTGGGCTTTTTGCTCCAGGAAGTTCCAGGAGATGAACGAGCCACTTTCGGGTCCACGGAGAAGTGAAACGATGCTGAATGTTTAATATTCGATCCTTTCGCAGCCTGGATTGGGAAACCCACCTTGGGACTTCTGTCTTCCCGCAAATCCAGGCCTCGCTGTCCGGAGAGCCATTCCAGACTCCCCCCGCCTGCCCTGCCTCAAACGCTCTGGAATCATTATCCTGCAAATAGTTTTTGAGTGACTGACGGGAGCTATTTTGAAATCGCTGCATTGTTCCTCTCCAGTTCACATTCCTGATTCCTTCTTGTGTTTTGTTCCGAGGGAATCGTAAACCGTCAGCTTCTCGGAAGGCTGGTTTGCGGACCCAAAAAGCCAGGTTGGGCAGTCCTTGGCAGGGCGGTTCCGAAATCAGGACTGCAGAGAGCCAATCGGTTTGGGCCAGTGTGGGACCCGACCCCTCCATTGCCAGCGAGGGGTGGGGATGCCAACCTCCAGGCGGGGCCTGGGTTTCTCCCAGAATTCCAAATGATCTCCCACTTTCGGTGGCTGGGTTCTGTGGTATACCATAGAGTTTAGGAGAGATGGAAGACCTAGAGTAGCTACAGAGGGTGGACTGTACAGCTTCACATCCTTGCTGAGTTCAGACCCTATCGGTGTAGACCAGGGCTGGCCAAAAGTCCTTAACGTAAGAGTCACATAGAATAAACATCAGATGTTTGAGAGCCGCAAGACATGAACAAATATTACACACACTTCTTACTGGAAAATATGCAACTTTCTTTGCTTTTTGTTAACGTTAAATGAGACTGCCAAAAATAAAAAAGGGGTAAAAGCAGATATTGATATTTATTTGGCCAATGATATTGGTTTACTAACAGTATTTATTTGTCAGAGAGAGAGAGGTGGAAAGAATGAAAGAGGTGGAAAGAAAGAGAAACAAAGAAAGCAAATAGATGGGGAGGGAGGAGATAGGGAGGAAGAGAGAGAAGAAGGAAGGGAGAAATAGAGAAAAAGAGAAAGAAAAGGTGGAAAGAAAGCAAATAGGTGGGGGCAGAGGAGGAGGAAGGAAGATAGAGAGAAAGAAAAGCAGATAAAGCAAATAGATGGGGAGGGAAGGGGAGGAAGGATAGAAGGAAGGGAGAAAGAGAAATGCGGAATGAATGAAAGAGGTGGAAGGAAAGGAGGAGAGAGGGAGAGAAAGAGAAACGGAAACGAAGAAAGCAAATAGATAGGGAGGGAGGAAGAGAGAAAGAGAGAGAAAGAAAAAGAAAATAGATGGGGAAGGAAGGAAGAGAGAAAGGAAGGAAGGGAGAAAGAGAGAGAGAGAGAAAGTTGAAAAGAAAGAAAGCAAATAGATGGGGGAGGGAGGGAGGGAGGGAGAGGTGGAAAGAAAGCAATTTTAACTTTAAATGTGTTGTCCACCCCGGCTTTGAGAAAGGATTTAAAGAGACAAGTGCTTTCTCCAGGCCGGCCGGTGTGTGTGTGTGTGGCCCTTTGAGAACACATTTAAAGTTAAAGATTTCTTTCTTTCTCTGCTCCCCCCACACATACCTCAAGCCTACCCAGGGAGGGGCACTCCGTCTGGGGAAGGGAAGACCAACCAGGGAGGCATGCCTCCCCTTCACTTCCCCAGCCGCCCTGCCGGGAGCCGCAGAAGACATATGAAAGAGCCGCATGCGGCTCCTGAGCGGCAGTTTGGCTTAAAACCGGGATATTCTCTTAGCCCCGGTGTGCCTCACTTCATGCTTTCCAGCAAGGGAGTTCATTGGCTGTATCGTTGCCCTGTTTCCATAGAAGAATTAATAGATCCCTTTGGAAGGAAGGAAGGAAGGAAGGAAGGAAGGAAGGAAGGAAGGAAGGAAGGAAGGAAGGAAGGGAGGGAGGGAGGGAGGGAGGGAGGGAGGAAGGAAGGAAGGAAGGAAGGAAGAGAGAGAGAGAGAGAGAGAAAGTTGAAAAGAAAGAAAGCAAATAGATAGGGGGAGGGAGGGAGGGATAGGTGGAAAGAAAGCAATTTTAACTTTAAATGTGTTTTAGAGAGCCAGTTTGGTGTCGTGGTTAAGTGCGCAGACTCTAATCTGGGAGAACCGGGTTTGATTCCCCACTCCTCCACTTGCAGCTGCTGATGTGACCTTGGGTCAGTCACAAGCTCTGGCACAGCTGTCCTTGAAAAAGAGCAGTTTCTGTCAAGAGCTCTCTCAGCCCCGCCTACCTCACAGGGTGTCAGTTGTGGGGAGGGGAAGGGGAAGGAGTTTGTAAGCCGCTCTGAGACTCCTCTGGGTAGTGAAGGGTGGGGTATAAATCCAATCTCTTCTCTCTTCTTCTTCTTCTTTGGTGACTCCCACAATCTGCCTCCTGCTCACCACCGAAGCAACGTCTTACAGACAGCCAAAGGCCGCTAACAGTCTTAGATATTAGTTGTTGCAGATTTTTCCAGGCTGTTTTAGATACGCCTTAGATCTGTCCTCCTCACCAATGCAAAGAGGTCCGTCACTCTGGTAGACTGCCCCTACCCATGGAGGCTGCATCTAGCTACATGCCTATGTGCCATCAGGTCACAGCCTACACAGGGTTCCCAAGCTCTAAGTCGGACCTGGAGACCTCCTGCTGTCACCGCTGATCTCCAGACAATAGAGTTCAGTGCGCCTGGGGGAAATGGCTGCTTTGGAGGGTGGACTGTACGGCATTGTACCCTGCGGAGGCCCCTCCCCTCCTCCTTCCCCCAGGCTCTGTGTCCCAAATCTCCAGGTGTTTCCAAACCCAGAGCTGGTAAACCTCCTTATGGCAACCCCAACGAAGGGCTTTTCAAGGCAAGGGAGAAGCAGAGGGGGTTAACCCCGGGCCCCACGCTGGAGAGGGGCCTGCACTGGGAGACCCCCCCTGCTGCCCTAGCGTCCCCAGTGACCGGGTTACTGCTGATCCCCATGCTGCCTGTGACTGTGATGGGGGGGTGCCATCCAATGCTCCCTCTAAGCTGCGGAGTCTCGTGAGCAAAAATCCTACTTGTGAGCTCCTGGCATTAAAGTTGTGAGCGAGCCATTTGGCTCCTGCCTAAATCAGTTTGCCTTGGAGCCATCCCTTCCTGAGCAAAGACAAAAAGGTGTGAGCTGGAGGCTAAAAAACTGTGAGCTAGCTCACGCTGACTCAGCTTAGAGGGAACACTACTAATGCTCCCTCTAAGCTGTGAACATAAGAACATAAGAGACGCCAATGTTGGATCAGGCCAAAGGCCCATCCAGTCCAACACACTGTGTCACACAGGGGACCAGAAATACCAGGGGCCATCGGGAGGTCCAGCAGTGGGGCCAGGACACCAGAAGCCCTCCCACTGTTGCCCCCCCCAAGGACCAAGAATACAGAGCATCACTTGCCCCAGAGCCCCTATCTATACCTTGTGGCTAATAGCCACTGATGGACCTCTGCTCCATATGCTTATCTAATTCCCTTTTGAAGCCGTCCATGCTTGTAGCCGCCACCACTTCCTGTGGCAGTGAATTCCAAGTGTTAATCACTCTTTGGGTGAAGAAGGACTTCCTTTTATCCGTTCTAACCCGACCGCTCAGCAATTTCATGGAGTGCCCACGAGTTCTTGTATTGTGAGAAAGGGAGAAAAGTACCTCTTTCTCTACATGTTCTTTCCCATGCAGGACTGTGGAGTCCTGTGAGCAAAAATTCTACTTTGTGATCTACTGGCATTAAAGTTGTGAGCGAGCGATTTGGCTCCTGCATAAATCAGTTTGCACTGGAGCCCTCCTTCCCGAGTGAAGACAAAAACGTGTGAGCCGGAGGCTAAAGAACTGTGAGCTGGCTCACACTGACTCAGCTCAGAGGGAACATTGGTGCCATCATTTGGAAGGTATTAGGGTCCCCCCCTCCCTCTAGCACTGCACGGGCAATTCTGGGGCTCCATCCCCAAGGTACGCTAAGCCTCCCCCCCCCCCGGCTTGTGTTTTGATCCGTTTGTTTCAAAACTATGATTGATAAAACATGGGAGATTTAGATACAGGTGCGCACCTGCCGAACGGAGAGTACAGGAGAGACCCCAGACGGGCAGGGCCCGGTCTTTCCAGTCGTACCAGCTTTCCCCTCCGAAGTAAACACCGTGCCCTCCCGGCTGCAGCCGAGCCCCTCCTTTGCGGCCTGCCCACATCTCAGACTTCTGACTCCGCTGACTCCGGTTTTCTCTTCCAAACTCTCTTCCACCCGCTCCACCCAAACCGGAGTGGCGAGTCGGTAGCCAATTGCCACCGGCCTCCAGAAGCCCATCGACGCTGCTCCGGGAAACATCTTTAGACATGAGCTTTAAAATGAGCGTCGGGAGAAGAGGACCGCCTCGCCCTCGGGCAGCAATACGCAGTTCGTCACGGCTTGAATATTAAAGATCCCGGCTTTCCCGCTGCGGGGAAAGGTGGCGGTTTGGTGTTTGTTGGCTCTTCCTTTCCTTCTGGTGGTCAGACTCTGTTTGCGTGCGTGTGCCTCCAGAGGGTGACTAAATGGCATTTGCAAATTCACATATTATGTCTATAAGGGACCACGCCAAAGGGACTAGGAAGGTCGCTTCTCACAAAAATTAGTCGCAGGCTGACTTCAAATGACACCGCAGACTTCCTTGCCACTGATCGCTGACTGACCGTATCTCTCTTTTGCGTCTCGGCAGGCTCCGTCTTCACCTGAAGCAACTCTCCACCCCGTGCAAGAATGCTGATTCTTCTGGCTTTCATCATCCTCTTTCACATCACCTCTGCTGCGTTTCTGTTCATCGCTACGATCGACAATGTAAGTGTCGCGTCCGGGGCAATGCTCCCTCTAAGCTGTGGAGCCTTGTGAGCAAAAATTCTACTTTGTGAGCTACTGGCATTAAAGTTGTGAGCGAGCGAGCGATTTGGCTGCTGCAACATTTGCTTTGCTCGAGAGTCATCCTTCCTGTGCGAAGACAAAAAATGTGTGAGCCGGAGGCTAAAAAACTGTGAGTTGGCTCACACTAACTCAGCTTAGAGGGAACACTGGTCCTGGGACTTTGAGCTGCAGTTTTGGATTTTTGCATGGGGAAAGGAAGAGGAGGGCGGGGGGTGGGGGAAGATTCAAAGATGTAACAGGAGCATGAGAAGCTGCATGGCTGTCTCTCTCCCTTGCTCCAGAGCATGGAGTTCGGATTCCACAGCCTCAGCTTTTCCATCTGTAGAATGGGGAGAATAAGTGATTAAAACGTGGAATTCGCTTCCAGAGGATGTCTGTGATGGCCACAAAGATAAACATCTTTAAAGGGGGATTAGATAGATTCATGGAGGATAACTCTATCAATGGCTACTAGCCGTGGTGGCTGAGGGGAACCTCCACATTCAGAGGCAGCCAACCTCTGAATCCCAGAGCCAGGAGGCAACATCAGGGGAAGGCCTCGGCCTCTCTGCCCTGTTGTTGGCCCTCCAGAGGAACTGGTTGGCCACCGTGTGAGGTGGGATGCTGGACTGAATGGAATATTGATCTGATCCAGCAGGGATCTTCTGATGCACTTATCAGGGGAAGGCCTCGGCCTCTGTGCCCTGTTATTGGACTTCCAGAGGAACTGGCTGGCCACTGTGTGAGACGGGATGCTGGACTAGAGGGACCCTCACTGGTCTGATCCAGCAGGGCTCTTCTGAGGTTCTTATCAGGGGAAGGCCTCGGCCTCTGTGCCCTGTTGCTGGCCCTCCAGAAGAACTGGTTGGCCCCTGTGTGAGACAGGATGCTGGACTAGATGGACCTTCACTGGCAGGGCTCTCCAGCAGGGCTCTTCTTAGGTTCTTATCAGGGGAAGGCCTCGGCCTCTGTGCCCTGTTGCTGGCCCTCCAGAAGAACTGGTTGGCCCCTGTGTGAGACAGGATGCTGGCCTAGATGGACCTTCACTGGCAGGGCTCTCCAGCAGGGCTCTTCTAATATTGTTATGAAGGCCTTGGCCTCTACATCTTGTTGTTCACTGTCCAACAGAACTGGTTAGCCACTGTGTGAGACGGGACGTTGGACTAGATGGACCTTCACTGGCAGGGCTCTCCAGCAGGGCTCTTCTAATATTGTTATGAAGGCCTTGGCCTCTACATCTTGTTGTTCACTGTCCAACAGAACTGGTTAGCCACTGTGTGAGACGGGACGTTGGACTAGATGGACCCTCACTGGACTGATCCAGCAGGGCTGTTGTTTTGTTCTTACTACTGAAATCCAAGAACCCAACAGTGTCCTTGCTAGATCAGACCGGGGTCGATCCATCCAGCGAAGCAATCTCTTTCCACCCATGGCAGCCAGAACGCAGGAGAGCCACTTCCAGTTGGAACGGAGACCATTAAAGTAGACCAGCTGGCTCTGCTCCTAGGCAAACGAAGGTGATCTGCGTAGGGCGCCGGGTTTTGACGGCTGCCCCAAAGACAAAAGGTGTCTCCTCTGTCGGCTTGAAAGGGCATTTGGCACGATGAGGATTTTAAAATGTCTGCTGACTCTGGTCTTCGATAGCTGCCATGATGGGACGCAGAGGGGAAAGGCACAGATGAGGGGGTCCAAGATGGTTAAGGGGGTTGGAGCACCTTCCCTTTGAGGAAAGGCCGGAGAGTTTGGAACTTTTCTGTTTAGAAAAAAAGATGACTCAGGGTTCGTAGTGTTGCCAAGTCCATCTTCCACCCCCAGCGGGGGACTTTGGGGGTGTTCCTGGAGGGAGCGGGGCATTCCCGACGTGATGACATCACGTTGGGGACGTCCGCCACCCCCACTACCCGCCCGTGCGCCGGATCTCCAGAAACGGCAGTTCCCTGCACTTAAAGGAGCTGTCGCTTCCCTTTTAAATGCAGGAGCCAGCGTTTCCCCTTTAAGAGCAGCCGCATTTCCCTTTTAAGAGCATGAAGCTGGCATTTCCCTGCAAGCTTGCGGAGATCAGGCTTGGGAGGAAACACGGGTTCCACACACTTAAAGGGAGAGAGGTGGGTGTTGGGGGTGGGGCTTCCCCCGCCGGCCATCTGGCCAGCGGCTGGTAGAATTCCCCCAAAATGGGGGACCCCTGGCAAACCGGGAGGGTTGGCAACCCTAAGGGTTCGTAAAATTAGGCACAGGGTGGAGAGAGCTGACAAGGAGAACTTTTTCTCCCTCTAGCAAAACTGTAGAACTCAAGAGCGTCTGATGAAATCGATGGGCAGTAGGATCAGGACGGACAAAAGGAGATACAACTTTACACAGAGACCGATTAAAAGGTGGAACTCGCCGCCAGGGGATGTAGTTATGGTCACAGGAATAAACAGCTTTAAAAGGGGATTAGACAGATTCATGGAGGAGAGGTCTATCAGTGGTTACTACCCATGGTGACTAAGGAGAACCTCCACATTCAGAGGCACTAAAGCCTCGGAATATCAGTGCCAGGAGGCAACATCAGGAGAAGGCCTTGGCCTCTCTGCCCTGTTGTTGGCCCTTCAAGAGGAACTGGCTGGCCACTGTGTGAGACGGGATGCAGGACTAGATGGACCTTCACTGGTCTGATCCAGCAGGGCTCTTCTGGTGCTCTTCTCAGGGGAAGGTCTTGGCCTCTCTGCCCTGTTGTTGGCCCTCCAGAGGAGCTGGTTGGCCCTATGTGAGGCGGGATGCTGGACTAGAGGGACCCTCACTGGTCTGATCCAGCAGGGCTCTTCTGAGGTTCTTAAATATTGGACAGCCCTACTTCTATCAGGGCTATGTGCGTGCTTTTTCGGCTACTAGTAGCCACCAGCCGTCATTTGCAGCAATTCTAGCCCTCAGTGCGCACTGATGAAGTGTCTTCAGCCAGGACTGGAAGATCTTCTTCGCTATAATGACACATTACCGTGCCCCTTCCTGCTCTACACTCTGATGACCCCCCGCTTCTCTTTGTGCAGGCTTGGTGGGTCGGGTCTGACTTCAGAATGGGCCTTTGGTTCCTGTACACCAATGAAACCAACTGCACAGTTATCGACGAACAATTCCCAGGTAAGCCATCAACCAAGTGGTAAGATGGGGCTGGTTCAAAGGGTTCTATTGCCTCCTGGGTCCCTGCCCCCACTGGCTGACCCAGCTGTCAGTAGGGTGTGCCTAGGTTAGGGGTCCCCAAAGTGGGGACCTTGCTGGTGCCCGTCAAGTGTTTCCAGAATGAGGGCAGGGCCAAATGCGACCTTTGCCCAGCAAAGCTTCTGATTGGCCATTGGAGAACTGATTAGTTGTGTAAGTTTTTAAGAATTTGCTTTGGCAGCAGCTGTAACCACGACACAAGGACCTTCACTGTGTGACTGAAGGTAAGACAAGGCGGCCATTTTGTGGCTCCCTCTGCCTCCTATGGCAGCCATTTTGTGGCTCGCTCCACCTCCTACGGCAGCCATTTTGTGACCTTGCCCACTGTGCTATGTCAGAAATCCAAAGGTGCCTACAGGCTCAAATGACCTAGGTGATGACAAATCGTCTGCTGGCCAGATGGGGAGGCTCTGAAATACATTGCTGCCCTGAGCCAGTGGTTGGAGAACCAGTTTCGGATCGAGGCCCAATCTGTACTTCCTGTAGGTCACCCCGAGCCCGCATTTCCTGGTAAGCCACCTCCGAAATAAAACGAATGGTGTGCCATCGTTCTGCGAACATTTTCCCACCCACCCTGCACTCGATGGGGGAGGCACAAGGAACGCTAACCCAAAGGAAATTGCGTTGTGCATTCCCCCCGGCAACTTTGTTACCAAGGGGATGTGAATTGACTGGGGTGTGCAGCAAAAAAAAGTCAGTGTCTTTCAGTTTCAGGGATATCAGACCCCCCAAAATATTGGTAAATGTTGAATTTCCCCAGTTCAGTACCGGCAAAGTATTGGGACTGGGGAAATATTCGGTATTGCCGAATATATTCGGGTCTGATATACCCAAACGGAGTGAAGGAAGGCATGTTAAAATGCCTTCTGTCCCTCCGGAAGCTCCTGCAGTTTTCCCAGTCAATTTCACTCCCTGCCAGTCAGCTCTTAGGTTTAAGCCATTTAAACCTAAACAGCCATTTAAACCTAACAGCAGACAGGCCATGGGAGTGAAACTGACCAGGGAAAAACTCCTCTCTCTGCCTTCCTTTCTCTAGCTGACCCCGTGTAGCTGGAGAAGGGTAGGCAGGGAACCCAGGCTGTTTCCATGCCCCCGTCTCTCCCTGAGCCTCTCCGCTGCAGAGAGACTCGGGGAGGGAAGGGAAAGTCAGTGCAGGAATGTTTAAATGCCTTTCTTTCCCTCCCCGAACTCGGACCGGAGTGGCTCAGGCAGCAGAGAGGCTCAGGGAGGGAAGGAAGCATGTTTCCATGCCTGCCGTTGGCCCCCCCAGCCGGCCCACCGTGGTGGGCCGGCTGGGGAAGCCAACGGCAGACATGGAAACATGCCTGGGCTCCCTGCCTGCCCTTCTCCAGTTGCCCGTGGCTGTGGGGTGGCTGGAGAAAGACAGGCAGAGACAGCGCAGGCATGTTTAAATGCCTTTCTTTCCCTCCCCGAACTCGGGGCAGGCTGGCTAGGGAAGCCAAGGAAAGGCATGGAAACATGCCTGGGTTCCCTGCCTGCCAGAACTCAGGGAGGGAGGGAAAGAAAGGCATTTATACATGGCTGGGCTCTCTACCTGCACTCTACCTGCCCTGGTACACCTGGAGAAGGTGAGGCAGAGGGGGGGGGGGCTTATCCTGGTCGGTTTCCCTCCCACCGGCAGCTGTTAGGCTTAAATGGCTTAAACCTAACAGCTGACTGGCAGGGAGTGAAATTGACAAGGGAAGCCACAGGGGGAAGGGACGTTGGCATTCGGCTACCCGAAAACCAAAAAAGCCAAATAAATTCGGGAAACTGTATTCGGCCGCCTCCTGAATTTGCATTTGGCTTAGAAATACTGAATAAATACCTATAAGGCATTCATTCGATATTTTTTTTCGACTCAGGGAAGCCAAATGCACATCCTTAGAGTTGAGGCGCCCACTTCTCTTCCTGAAATGGGTTGTATGGACTTTTGGCAACCAGAAGGTGGAATTGGGGACCACCCCCAGTACCGCTGTGAAGCCCTTATGCTGTGGGGGTGGTGGCTGCTGCCAAAACACCTTTTAAAAAATCTACACAGACAATCAGATCTCCACTAGCCAATCAGGAGCCCTGATGGGCAAAACTCCACTTGGTCCCACCCACTTTCTAAGAACCCTCATCAGGTGCAAGGAAAAGAGTCAGTGGGCACCACAATGGAGACCCCTGCTCTATGAAACCGAGTCCCCCCCACTCCCATTTCATGAGAACTCAGGGAGAAGTAGATTCCAATGCCGGACGTCTGGGCCAGTCATCTCAAGCTTGTTCGGAAATGGTCTTGGAAGCTTAAATGGAGGCAGGGCTGGAGTGGCGTCTCCTCAGGTTTTCTGGGAAAGTTATTTTTGAAGGAAGCAGGTTCTGGGGCATCGGCCAGAAGCCGGCGGCTCTGATTGTCACGCTGCGTAGGAAGCAGGATGCAGGTGGGTCTTAAGAAGGGAAACTTAATGGGAGAACTTTTGTTATTTTTCTTGCAAGTCCCATTAGTAAGTAGGAAAACCAATTGTAAGGAGGTGGCATGCATAAAGCAATGTGGGGCCATGTCTTTTATTCTGCCAGTTTTGGCGCACGGTTGCTTTTCTTGTTTGGCTTATTTTTCTATTTCCATCCTACTTTTCTTCCTGATCGGGGACTCAAACCGGCTTTTCGCAGTGTCTCCCCGCCCCTTAATCTTTACAACAAGAACCCTGTGAGCAGTGCTCCCTCTAAGCTGAGTTAGTGTGAGCCAGCTCAGTTTTTTAGCCTCCAGCTCACACATTTTTGCCTTAGCTCAGGAAGGAGGGCTCCAGAGCAAACTAATTCATGCAGCAGCCATATCGCTCACTCACCACTTTAATGCCAGTTGCTCACAAAGCAGAATTTTTGCTCACAAGACTCCACAGCTTAGAGGGAGCATTGCTCCGTCCATTTCGTCCTGACCAGTGTTCCCTCTAAGCTGAGTTAGTGTGAGCCAGCTCAGTTTTTTAGCCTCCAGCTCACACATTTTTGCCTTAGCTCAGGAAGGAGGGCTCCAGAGCAAACTAATTCATGCAGCAGCCATATCGCTCACTCACCACTTTAATGCCAGTTGCTCACAAAGCAGAATTTTTGCTCACAAGACTCCACAGCTTAGAGGCAGCATTGAGGGGTAGGTTAGGCTCCAAGATTACATTTTGCCATAGAGGTTCACTGGGTTACCCTGGGCCAGGTGCACACACTCAGCTCTGGACCGTGCCGAGAAGGTGCTCGATCCTTCGACCACTGTGGGGTTCTGAATAGCTCCCAGAAGGAAAAAGAAAGAAACGTGCTCACCTTTCCCCCGTTGCTGGGCACAGGAGCACAGAGGAAGCAGTTTCAAAAGAGCAGGCATGACAGGATTAAACCCTGTCGCAAAAAAAAGATGCTGGGAGGGATCAGTCAGCCATAAGAACATAAGAGACGCCAATGTTGGATCAGGCCAGTGGCCCGTCCAGTCCAACACTCTCTGAGGGACCGCCTCTCCCCATATGTTCCCCCAAGGGCACTACGGTCGGGGACTCAACATCTGGTGATTCCAGGCCCCAAAGATACCAAACGTGCTGCAACCAGGGCCAGGGCCTTTTTGGTGGCGGCTCCGACCTGGTGGAATGAGCTCCCGGAGGAGATACAGGCGCTGCGGGACCTTGCGCAGTTCCGCAGGGCCTGTAAGACGGAGCTCTTCCGCCAGGCCTTTGAGTAGGAGCCGCCACCACCACTGTACCACCACCAATTGGAGTGCGTACTATTGGGGAGCGAGATGGCCCTGGGACGAAGAATGGATGGCAGTGCTGCCTGGAACTTACTCTGTTACTTTGTTGTTCTGGGACCCTCTTTACCAGAACCTTGTCTTGCGATTAAGGACTTTTATGACAACTAGAGCACCTGCACTTTCTTGTATTGTATAAATGATTGTTTTATTCTGTTTTTAATTGTATTAATCTTGGCATACGTGTCTCATCTGTTAGCCACCCTGAGCCCGTTTGGGGAGGGCGGGTTATAAATCTAAAAATAAATAAATAAATAAATTAAACACAGTGGCCAAAAATACCAGATGCCATCAGGAGGTCCACCAGTGGGGCCAGGACATTAGAAGCCCTCCCACTGTTGAATCCCCGAGCACCAAGAAGACAGAGCATCACCTGCCCCAGAGCCCCTATCTATACCTGGTGGCTAAGAGCCACTGATGGACCTCTGCTCCATATGCTTATCTAATTCCCTATTGAAGTTGTCCATGCTTGTAGCCACCACCACTTCCTGTGGCAGTGAATTCCATGTGTTAATCACTCTTTGGGTGAAGAAGTACTTCCTTTTATCCGTTCTAACCCGACCGCTCTGCAGTTTCATGGAGTGCCCACGAGTTCTTGTATTGTGAGAAAGGGAGAAAAGTACCTCTTTCTCTACCTGCTCTATCCCATGCATAAACTTATAAACCTCAATCGTGTCTCCTTTCAGTCGTCGTTTCTCCAAGCTAAAGAGCCCCAAGCGCTTTAACCTTTCCTCATAGGGAAAGTGTTCCAACCCTTTTATCATTCGAGTTGCCCTTTTCTGCACTTTTCCCAAAGCTATAATATCCTTTTTAAGGTGTGGTGACCAGAACTGCACACAGTATTCCAAATGAGGTCGCACCATCGATTTATAGAGGGGCATTATGATATTGGCTGATCTGTTTTCAGTACCCTTCCTAATAATCCCCAGCATAGCATTGGCCTTCTTTATTGCAGTCACACACTGTCTCCACATTTTCAGTGAGTTCTCTACTACAACTCCAAGATCTCTCTCTTGGTCAGTCTCTGCCAGTTCAGCCCTCTTATCCGTTGACAAGCCTTGATTCCAAGGTCCAGTCCGTTTGCAGGTCCCACTGCCTGTCACCAAGGAGACAGCAGCCAATGCACACATGCCAAAAAACGTTGACTGAAGTTGGTCTTTCTTTTTTGCAGACTACCCGGCCATCCAGGCCATGCAAGCCACCATGATTCTCGCCACCATATTCTGCTGTGTGGCCTTCTTCATCTTCATCCTACAGCTCTTCCGCCTCAAGCAAGGGGAGAGATTCATCCTGACGTGTGTCATACAGCTGATGTCATGTGAGTTGCCTCCTCCCGCTCCTCTCCGGCACTCACAACGCGAGATGCGGCCCAAGGAAGAGCCTTCTCGGGGGTGGCACCAAGATTACAGACCTCACTCCCCGGGGTTGTTCACCTGTTTTCCGTCGGTGGACAAAGGCTTTTCTGTTTTGTCCGGCGTTCCCTCTGCGATCTCCCTGTGGGTAGTGGGGTGGAAGTGCCGTCAGGTCGCAGCTGACTTACAGCGAACCTGTCGGGTTTTCAAGGCAAGAGAAACTCAGAGGCAGTGTTCCCTCTAAGCTGAGTTAGTGTGAGCTAGCTCACAGTTTTTTAGCCTCCGGCTCACACATATTTTGTCTCAGCTCAGGAAGGAGGGGGCTGCAGAGCAAACTAATTGATGCAGCAGCCAAATCGCTCACTCACAACTTGAATGCCAGGAGCTCACAAAGTGGAATTTTTGCTCACAAGACTCTGCAGCTTAGAGGGAACATTGCTCAGAGGTGGGTTCTCATTGCCTGCCTCTGCGTAGCAACCCTGGACTTCCTTGGTGGTCCAAATCAAGAGTACAAATCAGGCAAACTTATCTAAAGGGGCACTATTCTCTAACCAATTACCCTTTGGAATACAATCTGCGCCCATCAAAAAACCTGGCAAGCTGAAGGGAATTCCTAAATTTTGAACATTATTACTGAATAGTGTACTTTGACAACAGTCCAGTTAGGATCATGAAAGCAGCTGGCACACTTTTGAAATAAGAAAGTAGATGGGTCACAGTAAAAAACAACTGAGACTAGCAAATAACGTGACAATATGTCTTAAAGAACAATGACATAGAAAGGTTTTTTTTAACAAACAAAACATGCAACTCAAGTACAGTTATGCACATAAGCATTTGGTGTGCAATAGTACAAACTTCTCGGTGGAAAAAAGTCCAGAGACTTGCTGAAACATAAAAATGAAACTATTAATGTTGAACTCAAAATCATTTTGACGAAGATTCTGGATATTTTCTCTTCGTTCCGAAGTATTTCTTCAAAAATAACAGTTCTTAACAAAGAAGTCCAAAATATAATTAATAATTCAATAAGATTACAATTTCCTCTCTTGCATGAAGCAGTGAAATTGACATATATCATTTAATCCTTTTAATATGAATCCACGTAGATCAGGCGCTAATGTTCTAGTCTAAAGCCGCGTCAATCAGATAACTTTGCAGACGATGAAGCACCTGTTTGTACTTCCTCCGAGTGAAGGGCGGGGTATAAATCCAATCTCTTCTTCTTCTAGTATTGTTAAAAAACCCTTCTTTGTCATTGTTCTTTAAGACAACTGTTTAAATTGCATTTAAATATATTTTGTTGATATATTCTGTGCATATCGTCACAGTATCTGCTAGTCTTAGACACTTTTGAAATAGACAACTGAGCAATGCCCTTCCACCCAAAACATACACAGTTGCTCTTGAGTTGCTTCTTCCATGCAAAACCCCTCCCACATCAATACCCCACCCTTCCGCCAAAGACAGTGGCTTGGATCCATTGCAGATTTCCATGGACGGAAGGAGAGTCAGTTTGGTGTAGTGGTTAAGAGAACCGGGTTTGATTCCCCACTCCTCCACTTGCAGCTGCTGGATGACCTTGGGCAAGCTGTAATTCTCTCAGAGCTGTTCTTGAAAAAGTGCAGTTTCTGTTGGCGCTCTCCCAGCCCCACCTGCCTCACAGGGTGTCTGTTGTGGGGAGGGGAAGGGAAAGGAGTTTGTAAGCCGCTCTGAGACACCTTTGGGTAGTGAAGGGCGGGGTATAAATCCAATCTCTTCTCTTCTTCTTCATCCATAGAGCAGGAATTTGCGGCCTAGTGCTGCAGACCAAAATGCCGAAACGGTGCTCCCGGGAAGAAAAGAAGCCTCCCCCCCCCCAATAGCTGGTGGTAACTGCTAGTCAATTAAAACCTCTAAAAGTACAGGCCCCGCTGTTTAGAAATGTTAATTGGCAATTCTTAACATGTTTTATCAGATGACAACCTTGCATCAATATGTTAGGTAAAGGTTTCCCTTGCTTGAAAGCCAGTCGAATCTGACTCTAGGGATATGGTGCTCATCTCCATTTCCAAGCCGAAGAGCCAGCGCTGCCCGAAGACGTTTCCATGGTCATGTGGCCGGCATGACTAAACGCCGAGGCGCACAGAATGCTGTTATCTTCCCACTGAAGCGAAGTTAGGCTGGCAGGAGCTGGGGTCAGAGACGGGAGCTCACACTGTCACGCGGCACTCAGGTCTCGAACTGCCGAGCGACCAACCTCCCAGTCACTTTACATTTAAATTTGAGTCTCGTAGTGCCTTAAAGACCAAAGAAGATTCCCAGGGCATCCACTTTCAAGAGTCAAAGGTCCCTTTGTCGAGACACCTCTGCCTGATGAAGGGGATGTCATACCCCCCTACATCTTGCTCTCTAAGGTGACACTGGACTTGAAGCTAGGTGTTCTGCTGTAGACCAACACGTCTACTCTCTGAAACCATTTCCACTTGAACTATCTGCTTACCTGTTCGAACCTCTGACCGCCGTCAGCATCCAGTAGGCAGAGCTGCTCGTTCTAGACCCGGAGGAGTCAGCCGTGTTAGTCTGTTGCTGCAAAACAGCAAAAAGCCCAGCAGCACCTTTAAGACTAACAAACTATTGTAGCATAAACTTTTGAGAAACACAGCTCTCTTCGTCAGGTGCTTGGAGGGTATGAAGAACCTGGCCAGAGACATATAGGTAGAAAGGGGAGGGGGAGCAGTAAGTAATGAAGAAAGCTAAATGAGCCCATTCAACCTTTTTCATGACTTTGGCAACTGCTTTGCATTTACACGGCGCTTTCTGCATCCTCCCCCCCTCCCCTTACCAGTGTTCCCTCTAAGCTGAGTTAGGGTGAGCTAGCTCACAGTTTTTTAGCCTCCAGCTCACACATTTTTGTCTTAGCTCAGGAAGGGAGGGCTCCAGAGCAAACCAATTTATGCAGAAGCCAAATTGCTCGCTCACACTTTAATGCCAGTAGCTCGCAAAGTAGAATTTTTGCTCACAAGACTCCACAGCTTAGAGGGACCATACCACCTATATATCTCCGGCCAGTTTCTTCATACCCTCCATGCATCTGATGAAGACAGCTGTGTTTTTCAAATAGCTTATGCTACAATAAAGTTTTGTTCGTCTTAAAGGTGCTACTGGGCTTTTTACTGTTTTGCTTGTTCTATTGATTTATGATGGGACTCACACAGAACCTATGTCAACGCCTCCCTTTCCCCCTTACGCTGAGAATTTATAGCAGAAAGACACCAGGTGCAAGTCACACCAAGCCTCGATTCCCACGATCCCCCCAGTAAGATTTCCTGGTATGAATTTTCCTCCACTGATCTATCCAAAGAATTGAATTGTGACTCACAAAATTCAGCTTATATTGAAATTCACCAGTATTCATAAATGGTTTCTCCTCTGCAGGTATGTGTGTGATGACTGCGGTCTCCATTTACACGGATAGGCAGGAAATCCTTCACAGGGACGACTTCTACAACTTCAACGTCAGCAGCGGCCAGTTTGGATATTCCTTCATCTTGGCCTGGATCGCATTCGCCTTCACCCTCATCAGCGGCCTCATGTACCTCATCCTAAGGAAGCGCAAATAAGTAGCGGCTGGTGGAGCGAATGCCTCTCGGCTGCAATGACATTCCGGTCACACGCCTGTATATAGCAAGAAGGGGCCCTCCATAGTATAAAGTTCTCTTGTTTCTGGTTCCTCCCTCCCACCCCCCCACCCCCTGCTTTGACATTCTTGGCATGAAACAGCAAGGACTATGGGAGACGCAGGTGAATTGGAACGCCTGGACTCCCTAGGCACGGTCGGAGGACTTTAAAAGGCAGCCAAAGCGATATTCTTTTCTTGCACTGTTTTCAAACACCGGTAACCTTACTAGGTATTAACAAAAGGCAGGATGATAGCCGTCTAGATGGGAGGTTTGGAGCTGGCGGCGTAGGAGGTGCCTGAATTTCCTAAGGAGCAAATGGGTGTCGAGAGCTTCGTTAGGGAATACCCACACCGTCCAGGCCCCGCCGAAGTCTCTTGAGTTCACGCCGCTGGGGGAAAACAAACCTCCCAGCCGTGGTGCCTTAAGCGACTGAAGGCCGACACAGACAGAATTTGAAAGACAAGGTACTTCGTGCAGCGATGGTTTGATGCAAGAGCAGTGGCTTAGGGATTTGCGTTGGGATTTAGAGGGAAAGGGTGGCGTTAAGCGCTCTGGCCTTCCACTTTGATATGCTGAATGCATTGCCAAGAAGAGTTGCCAGGTACCCCCTGCTGACTGGTGAGGAGCAGTGTTCCCTCTAAGCTGAGTTAGTGTGAGCTAGCTCACAGTTTTTTAGCCTCTGGCTCACACATTTTTGTCCTAGCTCAAGAAGGATGGCTCCAGAGCAAACTAATTTATGCAGTAACCAAATTGCTTGCTCACAACCTTAATGCCAGTAGCTCACAAAGCAGAATTTTTGCTCACAAGACTCTACAGCTTAGAGGGAACATTGGTGAGGAGATGTACCGCAGCGAAGAGAGGTCAAGGCGGGCAAACATCACCGGAAATGATGTCACTGTGTCACTAGCAACACGGGGTCCTTTGGCGACAACTCTTATGGTAGGAGTCGTTTCTGGCCGTGGGAGTTTTTGCCCAAATACCAGAGCGTCCCACAGTGCTGGCGATGCCGTGACATAACTTCTGGCGAGCGCCAGGAGTGAGACTGCTGCGTTGCCAGCTTAGGCCTCTCTTTGCTCCCCCCCGTGGGGGCCTGGCAGCACGTATGGAATGAGCACCCCCGTAAGGGTTCGAAGGGCATTATGTCCCCCGATACGCTAAACCGCTGCGTTGGGACATCTGAGCAGATTCTCTTCTCACCAAAGCAGACGTCCAGAGCTACCTCGAAAGGAAGCGTCCCTCCCCCAAACCACTTGCCCTTTTACTGTACGCCTGGGAAGTTTCGCGGGTCAAAAGGGGCCGCGCAACGTTAAACCAAACGCCTTCTTCATCTCTGCTCTGACATTTCAGTCTTACCTTGGTATTTCCCCACGGTTTAAGGAAAACAAATTCAAACAGAAGGGAAGGGAGCGGGGTGTGTGTGTGTTCACCTCATTCCGAAAGGTAAACCTTAGCAGAGCAGGAGGGAAGTCCTCAAATCAGGAGTTGAAGCTAAATCGCTTGGCGATGAGACCACAAAGCCTGAATTAGCCCCGGGGGGGGGGGCTTATTCACATTACAAATATTTACTTCCGATTGTCTGCGGTCCCGCTTCACGGTAGCTCTTCCCCTAGGCCTCCACAGGCCATACTCCAGGGTATCAGTCGGCAGGTGGAAGTTTGCTTTCATGAGTCTTGCCTTCCGCACGGGAGCTGGCTTCCCCTCCATGGGGGCAAACGTCTGACTCCCTTAACCACGAGGACGGCTTCGCAAGACAGAATTTTCGCTGCCTTAAAAACAACAAGAAAGACCCGCCACGCACTCACCGAAAAGCACCAACGGTGAAGAAGTTCTTAACGTGCTTTCTAATTATAAGTAAACGTGCACGCTGCCAAGCCCTTTTTGCGATGTGCGAGAACTTAGAAACGGGAGCCAAAGGACACAGCAAATAGGGAAAGTCCTCTTCGACACAGTGTGGGTTGGATCCAGTGGTAGATTTCTAGTGATAGATTTTTCCTCAGGTTGGGGGGGGGGGGAGTCTCCCTAGGAGCCACATTTTGGGGAGCCCCTTGGGCCGCAGCGAGATGCTGGCGGTGAGAACGCCCTACTCTTCTAAACCGCACGCCTCCCACAGGATCCAACACATGTCTCTTGAGCATGCACTCCCGTTGCGGGAACAAACCAGAATTGGACCAGCCTGTTCCTGCTACATCTCCTTTCATGGCTGAAATCCCCAAAAGTAAATAGATCCGGGGACACCTCCCCTCCCTCTACAGCAGGGGGTCCCCAACGTTTTTTTAGTCTGCAGGCACCTCTGGAATTCTAACACAGCATGGTGTGCACGGCCACAAAATGGCTGCCACAGCTTCCTTCGGCCACAGTGAAGATCCTTGCCCGGTGGTGGTAGCTGGTCCTATAGTTAATTTTTCAAAAATCTGCACAGGCAAAGACCCATCGGAAGCCTTGCTTGGCAAAAGCCCCTCCAGGCCTGTCACCGACCTCACTGTCTCCCTGGTTCTGGGTTTTGACTCCCCCCTCCCTCCCCCCCACAGGGCACATCTGGCAGGCAGCTCCCGTGCCCCGATTTTGTGCCTCTCTGGAAAAGAACAACTAGGTTGGGTGGATCATTTTATACTTCTGAGTTTATATTTATGTAAAATAGTATGTATATGTACATACATATATCCCGTTTTTACACAGTTACATATCTGATCGCTTAATAAAGGCAAACGTGTTATAACAACTGGACGGGCCGTGCTTAATCTTTACACAAATGCAACGGCCACCCACAACTCCAGCCAGGACAATGGGGGCTGGGTTTTTTTACATCGGTCCAACTTTTTCTGGAGGTGGGGAAACGGAAATTTCCCAGCGTGTTTTGGATCTCTCGCTGGACAATGGTTTCTGGACCGACAGCCAAAGCGCCAGCAAAGGCAGTGTTAAGCTAACGCCTGCACTTTACATACCTAGTGTATGTGACAATAAAATTACAACTAGGATTGCATTGACGCATGACTTTAACTCTTTGATTCCGACAGTGCACCAAGGTATTTTTTTGGGGAAAACCCAAACTGTTTTCAGAATTAGACTCATGGTGTTGGAAAGGGTGCAGATGTCTGTACATTACGGGAACCATAAACTCAAAGATTTATCACCGTGCACTGATTCTGCCGCACAAAGACTGGCTGGGGGCGTCATAACCAGTCACGTCTGCCAAAACAGTTTTCAATCACATTTAGGACATAGCAAAATGTTTTTCACGACAAGAGATTAAAAAAACCCACACACATTATAACTCTCTCAAAACCGCATCAGATCAGAAACACGCCAAGAAGACCCAACGGGAATGAGAATGCTCTGAAGGATATCAAGTTATTGGTCACTCCTCTAAATCAAATTTTAATTTAGATTAATTTTTTTCCCCACAGAAAGGCACATTCTCAATAGCACCAATTTACAATGTACGTAACCCAACGTAAAAAGGCACTTGATTTTTTAAAAACCTATTTCTTCGGAGGCGAAACAAGACGACGCGCTTTTTCATCTTAGTGCCAGCGGGTGAAATGAAAATGGAAACGCAACGGCGAAGGGACGGGGTCTTCCCCGTGCACGGCTGATCCCCCATGATGCAGCTCTCAGAGGAAATACCCACCAGGCAGGAAACGGAAATGGCACCAAACACTTATCAGATTATGTCAAAGGATAAACTCGAATACTTTCCCAATATACAGAACCGTGCCGGTGACGCTATGGGCGAGGGGCACAGCAAGTAAGAAACATTTTAAAAGGAGTGTAAACAGTTCGCAGGGTGTCGGCCCAGAGGTAAGTGCAAAACGGAGAACAGGATGCGAGATGTCCCCAAAGTGTCAGAGGAAGGAGGCTGCCCACTGTCTCTCTCTCTCTCCTCTCCACCCCGAGTAAAAATTAACCGGTAGTAATCGACTGAATATCACAGAAGGGTCCGAAGCGTCCGAAAATATCCTTGGACTGCATGGCGAAGTAACACTTGCCGGCCGCCGCGAACTGGGACAAGGAGCAAGCCATTGGGAGGGACATCGCCTTGATTTCGTTGGTTTTGATCCAGCGGGACCGCGTGCCCTCCCTTTTGTTCTCCAGGCAGATGAACAAGTGGAAGCTCTCGATGGGGGCGCACCGGGGGTCCACTTCCTTGACGTTCCACTGTAGGGCGATGCCTTTGGGGTTCTGGATCTGGGCGACGGCCAGCTCGAGCTTCTGGGGCGGGAGGGTGTCTCTGAAGCCGTTCATGTGCTGCGGGTGGAGGCGGATCTTCGGCAACGGAGGGAGGTGGGGAAATGACACAGCGATCTAGAGAGGCAGAAGCATCGGTTAAGTCCTGCTTACCGGGCCGGCGGCCCAAAGGTGCAACAGAAAAAAATTATACTTGCTAGTGTTCCCTCTAAGCTGAGTTAGCGTGAGCTAGCTCACAGTACTTTAGCCTCTGGCTCAACACATTTTTGTCTTAGCTCAGGAAGGATGTGGCTCCAGAGGAAACTGATTTATGCAGCAGCCAAATCGCTCGCTCACAGTGTTAATGCCAGCAGCTCACAAAGTAGGATTTTTGCTCACAAGACTCCCCACAGCTTAGAGGGAGTGTGACGTGCTTGCTTATAGGGGAAACGGGTTTTACCTTTAAACACTCTCTGAGTACATAAACTTGGTAGTTTTCTGCTGCCACCGGGAATTAAAAATTCCAAATTTCTCTCTTTTGGTAGTATGACCTAGGGTTTGGGCACTTCAGAGGACTACGTGGCCATGTGGAAGGACTGTACTGATTTCTGGGATAAGTTTAAACAAAACCTGATTTATTTAATAAAGAACAAAATAGGTTTCTGGTTATTTTGAACAGTTGCTGACCAGAGTAACATTGTCAATATAACTGGCAAAGCTTGGTGCTACAAACAGTTTCTCAAACTCCAAACTCCACTCTGACAGGCTTATACACTCATGTATACATATATATAGCCACACAGTCTAGTCTCTTTGTTTTATTCACACTGAATAGAATCAGAATTCCGTAGTCACACAGACTATGTTCTCTTTTTAAGCTTCACACAGAATCCTTCATAACTCTGTCTTCAAAACGCTTCCATACTTGTCTCTCTCATATCACAGAATCTCTTCAGAGACACACACACACAGAATCCTCTGAGTCAGCGGCCAATCAAATCACACTTGTCACCCTCTATCACTCTTCTCATATTACTGCATTCAAACTAAACATTTAAAGGAACACACACACCAAAACATGGAATCATTACAGGGGAGCACTGAAACCCCAGCATTTTTGGGAAAGCAAACCAGAAGCCTTTGGAAACCTGCTCTTGGGGACGTCACCACAGCAAACTGACTCTTTGCAAGGCATTGCGAATTATGGTAGTTAAAGGGTGCTCGGAACTTCTAATTCATGACCACAGGACCCCATGTGGATTGGCTAGTGCTGCTTGTTTGTTGCACTTATACCCAACTTTTCTCCCCAACGCGGACAGAAGGCTGCTTATGTCAGGAGTGTCTAACTCATTTGTTATGAGGGCCGGATCTGACATAAATGAGACCTTGCTGGGCCGGGCCATTCGTGTAGCGGACCCAGGTAGTGGAGATATAAACTTTAGAAAGGACACAAACACAAATGGGTTTTTTTAAAAACTTAAAAACATGCTTAAATCACTAGCTCTGTACGCTGCAAACCTACTTTTGCTTAATTGACATTCACCACAGAAATCTCACGCTCAGAGTTCTGAGTCTAGGACCCAGGTTGAAATATGAAATGGCTGAGCGATTAAGAGAGTCTGGCGAAGCGAGCTATGATGCAGCAGAAGCAGCAGAACTGGAAGCAGGAGATGGCCAGTTCCACTGCGGGCCTGATGGAAGCCCTCCAGGGGCCTAATCTGGCCCCTGGGGCGCATGTTTGACACCCCTGGCTTACGTGGTTTTCCACTCTTCTGGGGGTTTTTTGCGACGGCCCTCTGAGGTAGGCTGGCCTGAGAGCGTGCAACTGGACCACAGTCACTCAACAAGCCTCCGTGGCAGAGCAGAGGGCTTCGAACCTGGGTCTCCCAGCTCTTCACTTCACACTCCAACCACCACACCACGCTCACTCTGAAAGCAGTAGACCGCAGAGGTGAACCAGGACTGTACCCCTGGTTCTTCGAGTCTGTGCCCAACCCGCCTCTCCACGGAACAACCGACAATGTGGCTGGATATTCAGCTGCCGGGGATATGGTCATCTGGCATGCCTCCGTGTGTGGGGGGGGAGAAAAGCACTGCTAAGTGAGAACCAAGTCGTGATTACTCTATTTCAGAAATACAGGGAAAGCACACATTACCCAAAAACATTTAGAGACCAACAAGATATTCAGGATATAAAGCTTTTGAGAGTCAAAACCAGAGGTCATTTCGGGGGGGATTGCGGGGGATCGCAGTTCCCCCGGGGGAGGTGCAGGGGGGCGGGGCACACGACGAAGCCCCACCCCCTGCTTCCGGCCGCCCCGCTTCCAGCCCTCATTCAGCCAGGAGGAGGCAGGAGAAGAGGGAGGGTAAGTTGCTTCCTCCCCGCCTCTCCCCACCCCTGCCTGCCTGGGGCCAGGGAGGGCCTTGGCGGGGCTTCCTCGCACTCCCGCTGGCCTTGCAGGTCCACCGCCGGGCCCCTGATGTCAGGGGGTGTGGCATATGCTAATGAGTTATGCTAATGAGTTCCCCTAGCTCTTTTTCTACGAAATGACCCCTGGTCAAAACTCCCTTTTCTCAGATGCAGGTTGGAATGTGACGAAGGGAACTTTGACTCTCAAAACCTCATGCAAAGCTTCTTGCTCTCTAAGGTGCAACTGGACTCAAATCCAGTATCTGATGAAGGGAAGAAGAGGTGGAGGGAGAAGAGGGGAAGGGAGAAGAGGAGGTGGGAGAAGAGGAGGAGATTGGATTTATACCCCACCCTTCACTAACTGAAAGAGTCTCCGAGCGGTTTACAATCGCCTTTTCCCTCCCCCTCCTCACAACAGACACCCTGTGAGGTAAGTGGGGCTCAGAGAGCTTTCTTGAGAACTGCTCCTGGGAGCTCTGAAAGGGCTTGTGACTGACCCAAGGTCACCCAGCTGGCTGCACATGGAGGAGTGGGGAATCAAACCCAGTTCTCCCATATTAGAGTCCGCGCTCCTAACCACTACACTGAACTGGAGCTATGGCTCTCAAAAGCGCGTACCCCCAAAATCTTGGCAGTCTATAACGTGCTCCTGGACTCAAATTTAGCTGTTCTACCAAAGACTTCACATTCCTAGGATCCAAGATCACTGCAGATGGTGACTGCAGCCGTGAAATTAAAAGACGCCTGCTCCTTGGATGGCAAACCTAGACAGCATGATAAAAAGTAGGGGCATCACCGCATGGTCAAAGCAATGGTATTCCCAGTAGTCATGTATGGCTGCGAGAGTTGGACCATAAAGAAGGCCGAGCGCCGAAGAATGGATGCTTTCGAATTATGATGCTGGAGAAGACTCTTGAGAGTCCCTTGGACTGCAAGAAGATCAAATCAGTCAATCCTAAAAGAAATCAACCCTGACTGTTCCCTGGAAGGCCAGATAATGAAACTGAAGCTCAAATACTTTGGCCACCCAATGAGAAGGGAGCACTCCCTGGAGAAAACCCTGATGCTGGGAAAGATTGAAGGTCAAAGAAGACGGGGACGGCAAAGGATGAGGTGGTCAGACAGTGTTATCGAGGCAACGAACATGAAATTGAGCAAATTCTGGAGGACGGCGGAAGACAGGAGGGTCTGGCGTGATGTGGTCCATGGGGTTGCGAAGAGTTGGACCCGACTGTGCGACTGAACAACAACAATTGAAGACCAGAACAGCTACCCTTTGAAAGGTGCACCAGAACCCTGTATTTCAATCCCTGTTCACACACAGCATCATTCTCTGTTTCCAATATTTATTTCCCAGCCTTGCCCAGCAGAACTCATCACGGCTGGCCTCGAGGGAGTCATTAACTCTTCAAAACTCATTACAACATGATGATACACTGAAAATAAGTCGCCACCGCTAAGTGCTAAACCACACACGCGTTGCACGGTCCAGGAAGGTCACACAAGGCAACTGAACATCACTGTTTACTTTTCTGAATCGATGGGCTGTGCAGGACAGAAGAACGTTTAAGAAGCACCTGTTTTCCACAGCACCCAACAAAAGCAGCGGGGGAGGCGGGCTGAAGAGTGTGGATTCCACATGATAGCCAAACCCAAGGTGTCCCCTTGGTCTTCACCTGAACGAAGGCTGGCCTGGCGCAATCCACAGGCCTGGTTTGCCAAAGGTAAAGGTTCCCTTGCTCAAAAGCCAGTCGAATCCGAGTCTAGGGTTGCGGTGCTCATCTCCGTTTCAAAGCCAAAGAGCCAGCGCTGTCCGAAGACATTTCCGTGGTCATGTGGCCGGCATGACTAAACACCAAGGCGGACGGAACGCTGTTACCTCCCCACCGAAGTGGTACCTATTTATCTACTTGCAATTTCTTGCTTTCGAACTGCTAGGTTGGCAGGAGCTGGAACTAGAGACGGGCGCTCACTCCGTCATGCGGCACACTCGGGTCTCGAACTTCTGAACTACCGACCTTACACAGCCCGCAGTTCAGCATCTTAACCACTTGAGCCACCGCAGCTCAAAGGTACACCACAGTAAAAACAATCAGACTGGAGCTTGTTGAGACTGTGCTTCAAGCATAATGCGGCACTTTTCGGAGCGGCTGCCAGAAGGACAAAGAGGATTGTGGCACCCTTGCAAGCAGTGTTCCACCTAGGCTGAGTTAGTGTGAGCTAGTTCACAGTTTTTCAGCCTCCAGCTCACACATTTTTTGTCTCAGCTCAGGAAGGATGGCTCCGGAGCAACCTAATTTATGCAGGAGCCAAATCGCTTGCTTGCAACTTTAATGCCGGTAGCTCACAAAGTAGAATTTTTGCTCACAAGACTCCACAGCTTAGAGGGAACATTGCTTGAAACCAGTGTTCCCTCTAAGCTGAGTCAGTGTGAGCTAGCTCACAGTTTTTTTAGCCTCCGGCTCACACATTTTTGTCTTAGCTCTGGAAAGATGGCTCCAGAGCAAACTAATTTATGCAGGAGCCAAATCGCTCACACACACCCCTTTTGACACAGGCCCCAAGATTTACTCTGGAGGCAGATTTCACACAAATATATACACACTGGTACGGGGGAAAAGAAGCCGCTGCAAACAGTGGGGGCTAAAAGTTCACAAAAGGGAGTTTTACTGTTTTCATTTCAATTTCCTGCCACCACGAAAGGTCACTGTTTGCACCTTGAATGCATTTGCTCTTCGCAGAGAAACATCGCAGACTTACTGGCATCACCTATTATTTTGGCTTCCACTCGTAACCTGTTTGCCACGTTTTAAAATTCTCACTTACTGTAAACAAACAGTCTCCAAACAGGCCGGCAAAGAATTAAAACAATAACAAAAAAGTACAATTTGAAATGAAAAAAACCTAATATGAGTATGAATATCTATCTTTATAGATAAATATATGTCTCTATCTATCTATGAATCACCAGCGGGAATTAAGATTGCTGGGGAAAAGATCAACAACCTCAGATATGCAGATGATACCACTCTAATGGCAGAAAGTGAAGAGGACCTTAAGAGCCTCTTGCTTAGAGTGAAAAGGAGAGCGCAAAAGTGGGCTTGAAGCTCAACATTAAAAAAACTAAGATCATGGCATCCGGCCCCATCACTCCTTGGCAAATAGAAGGGGAAGTCGTGGAAGTAGTGACAGACTTCATGTTCCTGGGATCCCAGATCACCGCAGACTGTGACAGCAGCCATGAAATTAAAAGACGCCTGCTCCTTGGGAGGAAAGCAATGGTGAACCTAAACAGCATGATAAAAAGTAGAGACATCACCCTGCCAACAAAAGTCCGCATGGTCAAAGCAATGGTATTCCCAGTAGTCATGTAGTGCTGCGAGAGTTGGACTATAAGGAAGGCCGAGCGCCGAAGAATAGATTCTTTTGAACTATGGTGTTGGAGAAGACTCTTGAGAGTCCCTTGGACTGCAAGAAGATCAAATCAGTCAACCCTAAAATAAATCAACCCTGACTGTTCCCTGGAAGGCCAGATAATGAAACTGAAGCTCAAATACTTTGGCCACCAAATGAGAAGGGAGCACTCACTGGAGAAGACCCTGATGCTGGGAAAGACTGAAGGTCAAAGAAGACGGGGACGGCAAAGGATGAGATGGTTAGACAGTGTCATAGATGCAACGAACATGAAATTGAGCAAACTTCAGAGGACGGCAGAAGACAGGAAGGCCTGGCGGGATCTGGTCCATGGGGTCGCGAAGAGTCGGACTCGACTGTACGACTGAACAACAACAACAACCTATTTCGCACGTAAGAATCAACAGCACATAGCCATCGGTTTGCAGTAGGTTTGCCAAGTCCATCTTCCACCCCCAGCGGGGAGTTTGGGGGCGTTCCTGGAGGGGGTGGGGCATCCCAGGGGTGGGGCATCCCCAACGTGATGACGTCACATTGGGGATGTCTGCCGCCCCCCCCCCCACCTGTGCGCCGGATCTCCAGAAACGCAGGTTCCCTGCACCTAAAGTAGCCGGCAGCCGGCGTTTCCCCTTTAAAAGCAGCTGTGTTTCCCTTTTAAAAACGAAGCTGGCTTTTCCCTGCAAGCTTGTGGAGTTCGTACTTGGGATGAAACACGGGTTGCACACGCTTAAAGGGAGAGAGATGGGTGGAAACGCAGGTTCCCTGCACCTAAAGTAGCCGGCAGCCGGCGTTTCCCCTTTAAGAGCAGCTGCGTTTCCCTTTTAAAAACGAAGCTGGCTTTTCCCTGCAAGCTTGTGGAGTTCGCACTTGGGATGAAACACGGGTTGCACACGCTTAAAGGGAGAGAGATGGGTGGAAACGCAGGTTCCCTGCACCTAAAGTAGCCGGCAGCCGGCGTTTCCCCTTTAAGAGCAGCTGCGTTTCCCTTTTAAAAACGAAGCTGGCTTTTCCCTGCAAGCTTGTGGAGTTCGCACTTGGGATGAAACATGGGTTGCACACGCTTAAAGGGAGAGAGATGGGTGGATGTGGGTGTTGGGGGTGGGGCTTCCCCCGCCGGCCATCTGGCTGGCGGCGGGCAGAACCCCCCCCAAAACGGGGGACCCCTGGCAAACCGGGGGGTTTGGCAACCCTAGTTTGCAGAAAGTGTTGCTTGCAGAAAGTGTTGCTTGAAAACTAGTAAAAGGTAAAGGTAAAGATTCATAGATGCAACGAACATGAAATTGAGCAAACTTCAGAGGAAGGCGGAAGACTGGAAGGCCTGGCGTGATCTGGTCCATGGTGTTGCGAAGAGTCGGACTCGACTGTGCGATTGAACAATATCTATCTATCTCTCTATCTCTCTATCTGTGTTTGTATGGACAGTATGAAATAAACACTGCCCCATCAAATAGCAATATGAGAACACTTATTTCAACAAAAACCTATGCACCATCAAATGTCTTTCAAAAATAGAAATACGCTAATCTGACCTCTAAAGAGAAGACCTCGGACAAATACATTTTTGGGGGTGTTTTTGCATCGTGTGTGTGTGTGTGTCCCTGCCTGGAAATCACAGTGACCTCTGGCGACTACTACTGAGGCATGGAGGCATGATAGCCTGCCCCTGCCTCCTAGCCCTGGTATTCCTTGGAGGTCTCTCATCCAAATACTTGCCACGGTTGGCCCTGCTTAGCTTCTGAGCTCTGACAAGATCGGGCTGGCCTGGGCTATATCCAGATCAGGACCTTGGACAAATACACTGACGGACAGCATTTCAGAGCCTGGTCTCTTATCTGTGAGAAAGTCTGTCTCCTGTCTGTGCGCCTGGAGCCGGGCCTGGCGGGAAACCCAAAGCCATAAGTGCATACGCACCGGTACCGTTTTCTTCTCTTTCTCTAGAGAATGTGCCTACCTGCTGAATGAGGACAACTGGTGACACATCTGACAGAGAGGGAGCTAGTCCACAAAATCGTGTGTCAAAACAAATGCCTTTGCTTTTAAGATGCCCCAAGGCACACTGCTGTCTTTATTACCTGGTGATCAAGCGCCTGAAATTACAAAAAGAAAAATCCTTTTGGAACCCTCAAATTTCTTTCCTAGCCTGAGTCGCCACTCGTCAAATAGAAAGTCGATGGTCCCATTCTGACCAGGAACATGGCCGAACAGGGCTGTCCCCAGAATGTCTTTATTCGTTTATTAAATTTACATGTCCAAAGACTTCTCCGTGGTCATGTGGCTGGCATGACTGGACACTGAGGCGCACGGAACGCTGTTACCTTCCCCACCGAAGCAGTCCCTATTTATCTACTCGCAATTTCTCACTTTCGAACTGCTCAGTTGGCAGGAGCTGGGGCCAGAGACGGGGAGCTCACTCCGCTATGCGGCACTCGGGTCCCGAACTGCTGAACTACCAGCTACTATTGGGAGCTAAATGGAGCATGCGTATTCCTCCCATTCGTAACAAAAATGAAAACTACTGTGCATGAACCAATGCTATAATGAATATTTAATAAATGTATATTGATAATCATGCTGAGTCTACAAACCTTTAAAATGATTATCTAATATGTTCTGGCGGGGTATAAATCGAACAAAATAAATAAATAAATAAATGAGCTAATTTTACCTTGTGTTAACTAGTTACTGACTAATATATACGCAACTCAAATGAAATACTCCCAATTCCACCACCATATGGGAAACAAAATGATGAACCAAAAAAACAGCCTCTAGAATCCAAGAACTGTCTTTCATATGCACACCCGAATACAGCAAAAAAAGTGGGTTCAAAGTACAGAAAAAAAGTGGGCCGCTTTGGTGACTCTAGAACCGGCCGCTTTGGTGACTCTAGATAACCTTGGGCCGATCGCACGCCCCCGTAACCCACTTTTCCCCTGTACTTTTGAACCCACTTTTTCCTCTGTATTTTGGGTGTGCATATGAAAGACAGACTATGTAACAGTGTCGTTGCGTTATTAGCTATTATAAATAACATTGTTAAATACAGTGGAGAAACTGTATTTCACTTCATCCTAAACGCTGAGTGTCAGCCTGTTTTCTGGCTTACTAGTTGTAGCACCCATGCTGGCAGAACAGAATCCTGGCCGCACGCGTTGGGACCCGCGGACTGGGACAAAAGAATCTGTACTAAAATTTAATACCTCCTCTGTCAGCTCTATCATCGGCTGGGGTGGCTTGGACGTGGTGCTTTCGGGTGATGGACTCACGCTGACCGAGACCTCTTCTTCTTCTTTTCCAACACATTAAAAAAAATAATAATAATAATGTGGCACTTAAAAACAATTTGCTGCATTCAAACCACTAACGACAGTGATCACGGTGAGAAATCAACTCATCACGGGACTGCACAAGAGCTTACTTTTACACAGCAGAATATTACGCTACTGCTTACATATAATACTTCGTCATTTAAGGTAGCCCTCCTTCCCAAAAATACCGTCAAGATAGTTTCCAAATAGATTGACGTGAAATAATAACCACAGTCAGAGGAGCGTTAGGAAACGAAGACCAGCAACAAAAAAATCAAAACCTTTTAGAACAGATTAGTTGTTGTAGATTTTCCAGGCTGTATTGGCCATGGTCTTGGCATTGTAGGACCTGACGTTTCCTCAGTGGCTGTGACTGGCATCCTCAGAGTATAACACAGAAAGAGGGAGTACTCTCTGTGTTAATCTGTCACACTGTTTTTGCTTGGTGGCGACAGATTTAACCCATCGGTTGCCAGCTCATGGTGAGAAGGCCCCTGCCTTTACTGGCTGCACATCTCCCTTTTGGAAGAAGGGGGTCACATGGAGGGAAGCATCTGATTAGAAATGCTGAAGGCCAGGGGGCCCCCCCGAATTTGAAATGGGGGGGGGGGGGGGGGAAGGAAACATGAATCAGCAGGTGGAGTGGAGGAGAGAAACCCAGCCCATCTTCACCTGGTTTAGTATCCTCTTCTTCCGTCAAGTCAATCAGAAATTTGGTCTGCAAAAGACGAGAGCAGTTGATCAAAGATGGAATCAACCTCATATTTTAATAGCAGTGTTTTGCTAAAACAGCAACAAAACCCTGAAGGGTTTTGGCAAGGAAGAGCG